ATTCTTCTGCCTTAATCATCCCAGGCCTAGATGGCAGGTACCAGGAGCAACCCTATAGCTTGCAGCTCACCAGAATTATCCAAAGGAGCCATTCTTCAACAATTAATGCTTTAACTTACCTTTGCCTAGAAACCTCAAAAATGTCTTTTCCGAAGTTTTCCCTTACTCCTATGCCTGACCTCATTGGTGCCTTTCCATATGGCCCCATGAGGAATGCCATGCTTCTGTCCCTAATCTATCTGTCTGTGTCTGTCTGTCTCTCTCTCTAAAAGAGAAAAAAAAAAAATAAAACAATGAAATAGAATTTCAAAACAAGATAATAGGAAATTAACAACAGTTAATATATCACATACTGTTACCTTCAAAGTAGTTGCTCAGATTACAGGCATGCCCAAGTGATCAGATAATATAAGCAAATCATTTTATTTCAATGAACTAAAAGAAATCAGTAGCATAGCTATCTTATCTATCGTGTGTGTGTGTGTGTGTGTGTGTGTGTGTGTATTTTTTCTTTTCCCTTCTTTTCCTCTTTCATCCATCCCTATTCTTTCTTTATGAGTGGTTTCCTTCCCTTTCACAATAACTATTGTAGATTTCTGGGTCATATTTATTTATTTTTTTTTACATTAGGGAGACATGATGTTTACACATGTGAGTTAGATTTATTTCACTTATGAGTATGGTCTCTAGTTAAATTTATTTACCTACAAAAGCCTCAAGCATATCCTTCTTTATAGCTGAGTAATACCCTATTACATTTTATCACAGTAGCTTTGTAGTATAATTTCAAGTCAGGGATTGTGATATCTCCTGCTGTGCTTTGATGGCCAAGAAGACCTCTGCTCTTCTAGTTCTCTTCTGGTTCCTGATGAATTTTAGAAATGTTTTCTCTAATCTGTGAGGAGAAAACATTTTCTCTAATCTGTGAGGATTAGAGAAAATATCCTAATCTTAAATATCTTAATGGTATTTTGATGAGGACTGTGTTAAACCTGTACAACAGTTTTAGGAGTACAGCCATTTTCACAATGTCGATTCTTCCTATCCTCAAGTAAGGTATATGCTTCCATTTTCCCTAAGCTTTTTCTCCCCCTCCTTTGGTAGCCATACCCAGTCAACAGTATCACAAAAGTACACAAACAGATTCTGCATAAACTTGGGCTGTCCACAGCATGATAACAATCCTCACTAGTCTTGCACAGGTCTCATCAAAACTCTCCTTATTAAGGCACAGTTGCTCCATGCACTTATTCTTTTTTTTTGGTGGAACCGGGGATTGAACTCAGATCCTTGCATTAGCCAGTCAAGCGCTTATCCTACTGAGCCATCTCCCCGGCCCCTATGCACTTATTCTTAAAAGGATACATGCCAAACCGACGATGCTACTTCTACGCGGAGAGAAAGGCTTAGAATGAAGAGTGATCTTCAAATTGTGTTTAAAGTTTACTTTTAAGAGTGATGATTTTTATAGAACATATTAATGAGCTCATTTTTATATTAAAATGTATAGCTGAACCTTGCCTTTGGTCTGGGTCATCTGCTGCCTGTTTCCTGGTACCAGTGTGAGCTCTGTTTTTACCTAGCTCAAGTTTTCAAGTATTTTCTGTGCTACTTTGCAGAGAATGTCCCTAAAACCCTGCCTTCTCTCTATTCTCAGTTTGAGGTAGTATTTCAGAATGTTTTTATAGGGTCAAGGACGTGTATGAGTAAACATATATTTATTTATATACAATTGAAGGCTTACTCTTGTAAATAAACATTTAAACTTTACCCTTTTTTAGTTACAAGCCTGCTTCAATATATATGATACTAGTA